TTTCCCCTGTGTCACCTCAGAGAAGTGAGCCAGTGTTGCGGAGGGACCCAGCCCTGCTCCCATTATTAATGGAATTATTGGAGCATATGGCATCACTTAGGGCCTCTTCCCCCCTCTCATAGGTTGGACTTGCAGATGATTCCTGTGAAACGCTTGTTTTCCTCTGATCTCACTTTTTTTGCGCCCTCATAAACAGACAGTGCGAATGTAGTATTCAGCTTCTGATGCGGCGGAGAGATTTTTGCCTTTGTAACAACTCCAATGTAAACACATTATTAACTGAAATAGATGATTAAATGCCAGCTGATGCTCGGAGCAGAGCCTGCGGGGTTATGTCTAGGATCAAAATAAACCAAAATGTCACGGCTGGTTGAATCTGGCTCTGAATGTGGCAGAAAACGCTCTAAAAATTGCCCCGTAAAACCTGAACCCATCTTACAGCAGTCATGCCGTTTTAGACTGGACAACCAAAAGAGGTTAAAAAGCAACTACTGAATTTATCGCAGTTTACATGAGCAAATCTACATTTTTACAATCGCTTTTCTATTTCAAACTTTAATTTGAAGATAGACACATTTCTACAAGGTTTGTAATTTGCAGTAAACATTCTAGCAGTAATTTTGGCTTTTACCCCACAAAACTGTTTATTGAAGCGATTCAAAAGGTTCAAATCCAAACCAAACACAGACAATGACTCATTAAATTAGTCTACATTTACATTTGGGCAAAACAATGCAAAATTCCTTTATGACATTAAAGTGCCTCCGCATTAAAACTTATACCAATTTACCTTTTTAGACTTCTTCTCTGTCTGTTTTTCAGGGAAACTTTAGCTCAAATGGCTACTAAAATAAATATAGCGGTAGTCTTTCCACCAAAACATGCCAGGCTGTGTCAGATGTGTCTTAGGGATGCTGACATCATACTGAGAGATCCCATCATCTCCCCGTGGCCGCACAGAGGGGGGCAGACACAGAAAGCATCACAGAACTATTCTCTTTCTAACTATTTCTCTTTTTCTTCTGTCTGAGATTTGATTATTATTGGACTCACTGTACTTCGACGTGGTTTCTAGTCTACCTTAAATTATTGAGAGCAGAAATAAGAGAACCTGTAAAAATGTGTCAAAAGGTAGCAGTGGGGTGTGTAAACATGTCTCAACTAGACAGAAATGAAGCCGGTTTCAGAGCAGTTTCAGGTGTGTGCAGGAGGCAGAACAGGCAGGCAGAATACCTGGAAACCTTGAATGGGTCGCCAGTCCTCTAAAGTGCTAACAGAGAGTGCTAAAGAGGGAGGGACACCCATTTGAACATGGGCAGGACACACTTCATTCAGATGAATTGTCTCACCTGTGCAGTGAAGAAGGCAGGAGTGAGGGAGCCAGACGGCAGTGCCGGACTGTTGAGGGCGATGGAGCCGATGTCACTCCCTGCGAGCAGCAGGGACGGGGCGGAGATCTCCAGAGCTTTGGGCTTTTTGCTTTTAGGTGGGAGTCCATCTCCTTGGTTACTAATACTACTAGTAGAGCTACTTCTACCGCTACTGCTGCTGCTGCTCCTCTTCTCAGGATGCTGCAGGGCTCGCTCCCTGTGCCCAGAGGAGAGGTTGAGGGGCTGAGCGCTCTGCTCAGAGTCCTCCTCCTCCTCGGCCGCGGGGCTCCAGCTTCGGCCGGGCTGGGGGGTTTGGGTGTGGTGGGGAGAGGACGGGGAGTGGAGTTTGGATAACCTGGGGGAGACGTAGGACTCGGGTTTAGCAGAAGGAGGGGAGCTCCTTTCATTGGCGTTGGTGCCAAAGCGGATGACGGAGCGCGGCTCCTCCTGGTGCTCCCGCAGAGCGCGGAGCAGCTCAGGCTGGTTCTGCAGGGAGCTGATGCTGAAGGAGGAGTAGAGACCAGAGCGGAGGTAGTCGTTTCGACACTGCTGCGCCCCCAGGGCTGCCAGGGTCCTCCTCTGGGCCTCCTCCTCCCCTTCCTCTTCCTCCTCCTCCTCTACCTCCAGCTCAGAGGCTTCTCCTTCATGGAGGGGAAACCTTCCAGAAGCCAGGCCCATCTCGACCGCCTGGGGGTCCATCTTCAGGATCTCAGGGAAGGACACAAACTTATAGACAAACTTCTGGCCAATCACCTTCTTGATGATGTTCTGTAACACAAACACCGTAAATGAGGAGGAGAACTCTCTACACACACATATCAATCTAGAAAATAATAACAGGACATGTCGACTATCATCAGGGAATCTGGGATGATGACAAAGGCCAAACTGAAACCACTGTGTGTTAAGAGTGCTACATCACAGGCAGATTTCTACTGCGCATTTTATAAGAAAGAGGAAGTGGAAGTGTCTATCAGGAGGAGATTGTGACGTTAAAGAGAACAGCAAAGAATCTGTCGTGGTACTACACTACTTTCAGTTACAAAAGCTGAAATGACACGACAAGCTGGACTAATCCACGCAGAGGCAGCTCCTACACAATAACCACAGTCAGTTACATTCACCTTGTCGTAGTAGTAGCGCAGGGCTCTGCTCAGCTTGTCGTAGTTCATGTTGGTCTTGTTCTTGCGCAGCCCCCACAGCTTGGCCACTTCCTCTGACTTTAGGAGCTTGAACTCTCCGTCTGTGGACGTCCAACATATCAGGTGCTTGTGACTTTGGTCCAGCAGCAGCTGCAGCAGGAACTGCCACAGAGTGATGGCACTGTCCATACCTGGAATTAAAAAAAAAACCACATAATGAACATGAGACGAGTGAAAGGATTTGACACAAACATCAGAGCCGTCATTGGCTATTTTTATCCTCATCATATGACGACGTTTGAGGTCTTCTTCCTGTGGACTTTTTGTCTATTCAGAGATGTCAGCTGACATAGAAAAACCACCAAAACTACCTACTCATACACTACCTGCCAGCTGCTACAATGACAGAATAAGCACAAAACTCAGAGGGAGACAAGCCGGGCAGCTCTTTGCACCCTACTCTCCTCATTACTTTCTATATTTCCGACCTGTTTTAGAGCCCGAAGAGCTGATGTTTCATCTTAATTAAACGCCTTTTGTCCTCGTTTCTGTCCGCTTTACGGCACACGGGCTAAATTAGGTAACTGTCTGAAGAGGGAACGGCCTGTTTGAGCTCTAACATGTGGTGTAAGGAAGAGTAGACGGGGTGATGAATAGAGCAGTGTGTGTTAAAGAGTGTAGTGTAATGTAGCAGCGGCGGCGGCAGAAGAGAAAAAAAAAATATAAGGAGGAACAACAGCTCAAGCCAGAAATATGCTGCGGTTCAACCTGGCCCTCTCTCCACAGGAAGTATGACGGGCCCAGGGTGGGTTATTCCTTTAATAGAGGAATGTGCAGCCTCGAAGCTCCTGTCTGCCTGCAAGGAGCTCACATATTAATGGAGGGGAGGGGGGAGCTGTTTCTGTCACCACAGACAGACAACACCGAAGGATTGATTGATTAGTCAAATGACGACTGATAATACGTTGATAGATAATTGATTAATCGTTAAGTTGTGTTTAAGTTTTAGACTTTTGATCGAAGAGAACAACAATTTGAGGAGAAACTGTGATGGTCACTTATTTGTTTATACTATTTCCTGACATTTTAGAGATGAATTCATTTAAAAATAATGATTAAAAATATTAATCATTAGTACACCGGAGTCACACATATAGATAGAGTCTGTAACATTATCTTTAATCAGATATTTACTGCTCATGTTAGTTCATTTTTTGACTCTTTTAGTTTATTTCCAGAGTTCTTATTTTGCCATATTTATAGTATTTATACATGTACATAGCTCCTTGTAAAGCTGTACACTACCTACAGCCCTACATACCGATGGACTATGTTCTCATTCTGTATTCTTCTCTGTCTTATCTGTGGATGTGAGGAGTGATTGGTGGCCGATGCTCCAGAGCAATAATAATAACAGACCGGCCTTTTCTACCACTGCATATCTGCGTCCAGAGAGGAGACGGCGCGAGAGGGAGGGCTGAACTCATTTCCGACACTCGCTATCCCCTGAGTTTTCTATCTGCCATGTGAAACTACAAACCTGTCAAAGTCAGGACTTCCTCCTATTCTACTTCCAAGGACAAATGGTGAGGAGAGGGGATCCCACAGCAGGGGAGCATTTCCCCAGTCCTGCCACACTTCCCACAAAAGTCCCAACGGGGAGAGGGTCAAAAGATCACATCATTGTCCCCTTACCACAGCTCCACCCTTTAACCCACTCTGAACCCAGACTTCAGTGTGGCTTTTTTTTAAAAAAACACTTTGAAGTAAAAAGTAAAGCTCGCCAATACAGGGCTACAATTATGCCAGTGTGACTTCCAAACATTCACCTTTACAAGATGCTGCAGACAGCAGCACAGAGGGAACTTTAAACAAGAGCAACACCTCCTACAGACACCAGCAGGATTTTAAAATACCATCAACCTCACTGCTGATTTATTAATATTAGACAGATAGGCCAACCACACACAGATAATAATCTCACACATTGGCCCTACGGTGAGCCAGGCGCAGTCACAGTGAGAACCGCAGACATGGTCTAACTCTTTCTAGGAATATTACAGGAGCATTGAGGCACCCACTGGTCGTTGGGTCGGGGATCAGGAGCTCCTGCTGCGGATGCTCGGACTGAGAAAGTCTCGCTGTGCCGCACAAAGCCATCCAGTGTGTTGGCTGAACGGAAACTCCTAATGAGATTAGATGGTGTGTGCAGACATTACTTAGCCATGACTAAATCTGCTCTCTTCCTGTTCGCACACGGTGGAAAATTCAACAGGGGCCCAATAAGAAAAGCATCCCTAAAAAAAAAAACAAAAAAAAAAACAGCGGACTCTTTATTTGTTTGTTTGTTGCATTGCTCGTCTTCTCTCTCTCTCTCTCTGGTGGAGGCTACAGTATGTATCCGGGATTTCAAAGCAGCAGCAGAGACTTCACGCACAGAGCTCTGGATCTCTATTCTTGCTACACTGACTCATTTTCAAGATGTTGCTCGGACCGGAAGACGGCACACAATCGCGTCCGAGTCTGAATCTGTGTGACGATTCTTCATCAAAAAAAAAAAACTTCCCACAAAATAAATAACAGAAACAGCCTCGATCCGAAGAGTTTGAACACAAAGCAGAAACAAAAACCCCTCACAGCAGAAAAAGGGCAACTTACATAAAGCGGTCGCTGATAGTTCCTAATGCTGCATTATTTCACACCTCGACAGACGAACCCACAACGCAACATGTCAACACAGAAAGAAAGAAACGCTTTATTTCACCTTACCTGCGATCTCTCACTCGGTCTTTTTTTTTTTTTTCCTTCTTCTCCTCTCTCTCTCTCTCTGTCTCTCTCTCTCTCCCTCTCCGCGAAACTTTTACGGTGAAGCTTGTGTGATTCCTTGTTTTTCCATGCTTACTTTCTGCTCTACACGGTTGTGCTGGACTGAAATAGGATCCTGGGCTTTTTCTCTTTCTGAGCAGGAAGTTGGAGCAGGCAGACACAGAGCCGGCTCACTTCCTCTCCCCGACGATTCCCCAGGCAGTTTGCCGTCTGTGTAAACACACTTTTCCTCCCCTCCTCTTCTCCTCTGCCTGCCCGCTGACGGCCAGCAGTGGGCCTTACTCTGTGTCGGCACACATGGTGATACAGAAACTCCGACAGACCCTAAACTGACATCATCAGTCGGCAGCCTGCGGTGGTGCTTTCAGGTACGCCTCGTTAGTTCGCGCACTTCCATCCACAGGTCAAAAGTCATGTGGGTTTTTTTGGGGGGTTTTCATAATCGGGGTGTTTTTGTGCTCATCCAGAGCAGTGGGTTTGATTCAATAATCGTATGGGGGCTAATAATGTACTTTTTGATCAAGAATTGCAGCTTTTGTTAGTAATATGCATATTTAAGCTGGTGTATTATTATTATTATTGTTAGAATAATTATTATTATTATTATTAAGTTGTGTATATCAAACTGCATTTTGAGGGGAGCATGTCAATAAAAAGAAATGCAGCTTTTTGTTTGACTGTATGAATTTATGAACAGTGGAGGACATTTATATTTTACGACAGCACAAGAGACCCTTATAAATGATTTAATTAAAGAAAATTAAAGAAATGGAATATATACGTTACAATACCTTTGACTGTGTAAATTAATATGGAAATGAAAATATCTGTATGCAAAAAGTCCAGTTGCAATGCTTTCAAAATCTTTATATAATACTTGTTATATACTGTATGCCTGTTATTTTAATGTATTTAAATATATAATAACAATTATTATTATTTTCAATACTAGTATATATATACATTTGTTGTTCTTTTTTTGAGTCCTTAATTATTGTTGGAAAAACCAAAATACATATATTTAACAAAAAATGTTTGAATTAAATTTATCCTGAATATTTTGTCAAAATGAACGAAGGTTGCTGGTTATCCTTTTTACATGAAATGTTAAACAGTGATAGAATAAATGACTTTTACCCCCGGTTGTTGCCTGTCTACTAAATAGCCTGTTTAGTGTTAGATGGGGCCTGCTGGTTTTTAACAAGTTTGGCAGCCGCTGTAGTTTCTCCTACACACGCCCGTTCTCATTCCCCGGCCGTCAAATACAAATGCGAACGACATTCAGTTAGTTGCAATCTGAAACTTCACCACTAGATGCTGCTAAATCCTACACACTGGTCCTTTAAGTTTATTTTTTAAGGCATGTTTGCCTTGATTTGATATTAGGGACAAACAAGAAGAGCGATGGGGGATGATATTCCACAAAAGTCCTCAGCTAGCATTGATCCGTTGATGTTGAAAATACATGGTACTGTAAATGGTTTGCACCTTAGATCACTTGGCCCAAGGGGACACCAAGAGATGGCTACATTTAGGCACCAAATTAAATAAAGTTTTTGTAGCACTGCTTTAGATCCCTCTCATGTTTTATTTGGTAAATGTCAGCATTTGTCATTAAACACAGTTCAGACTGAACTGATTTTGTTCTGCATCCTGTCAGTTCGTTAAACCAGAGGTCAAACAGTGGATGTGGAGGCAGGTGATGAAACTGGCTCCACTGCAGCTAGTGTTTGTGATATTTGACTACAGTACAAATGTTTGTTTGTAATAATATTCAGCTGACTGGCTGTTTGTTAGTTGTAACGTAGGTTTTGTTTTCTCTTGTTATGAAACAGTGTTTGCTCTGTGATGCAAGACAACTTTCAGAGAAATCTGACAAAACTAATCTAATTTAAAAGGGTAATTTGGGATTAGTTGAAGGTTTGGTAATGTGATTAAATTCAGGGTAGAAACTGTTGGCAGGACACATTTCTGCTTATAAATAAAGTGAGACCGTTAAGACAAAGAATGAATGTGAGATTTTGATGATGCACAGAATAAAATCAGATCTAATTAAATTGTTGCACGCCTACCACGAATCAACAAATTGAGTTTTAAATATTGTGTCAGCCTCCTATAACATTTACACACACTCGAAATGTCTGACAAGTGGAGGCATCTGTAGTAGGACACATGTTCTCTCTCAAGATGAAGAGAAACATTTTTAATGAAGTCATTTTGAGGTATAAATTGGTTCAGTTGTTACACTTTCAGTGACATACTGTATAACTGTCTGTAGGCCTGCAGCAGACTTCACTCAACAAGTCTGACTCCTTCACCTGAGCGCTTCCATGTTTTATTCTGTGGTTAAATCACGTCAACGCATGTGGGTCAGTATGTCCAAACATCCGTGTGACCGACCTGTGGAGGTCAGTGGTCCCCAGAGGTGTGACACCGGCGAGGCGTGGCTCTCCAGCGGTGCGTCTGATTGGCGGCTGAACTTCAGGCGGCTGAAGGTGGTACCTTGGAGAGCGGCGAGCAGCGGTCAGTGCAGCAGAGTCCCGCTGAAGCGCAATGCCTCGTTTTACTGTCCACATCCGAGATGAGTGGCTGGCAGTGCCCTGCCGGGATACCACCAACACCATCCAGTGGCTGGGACATGAAGCTCTTAAACGCTACATGAAGAACAAACCAGACGACGGCGGCATCAAGGCCCTGAAGGACACTCGTTTTGTTGTGCGCAGGTGCCAGGGGTTAGGTTTGTTGGACGCGGATGACACCATCGAGGATGTACTGGAGGATAATGACTTTGTCGAGATCGGTAATGACCGTGTGCATTTAAAATATAAGAAATGTATGCATCCCGTTTGGGGAAGATTGGAGATGTTTTACCACTAGCTGTGCGTAATTGTGCATGGTTAGTTATTTACCGACGGTACGAGGCATTAAATGTAATTAAATGATATACCAATGAGAGAGAATATGTACAATGTGCATTATTGTCCTCTCTTACAGCCATTGAAGGCGACACCATGTCTCCTGACTTTATCCCGTGTGAGCCTGGAGTTTCTCATCTGTATCCTTAAACTTAAGTATTTGTGCCATTATTTGTTCTGTAGTTGGAACTAAATAGTGTTTATTAAATCAGTGATTTTTGCTGAATGTTATCCTTAATTAAACTATGTGAAATAGTACAGCAGCATACCGAGAACCAGCAGAAGTAAGTACCTATTCTCTGTTATACTTTAAAACATATAACTGACAGCCTCTGTGTAACACGGCTCTTCCTGTGCAGTACATTTCCCTGGATGGCAACAGCCTGACATCTACAGATCTGGTAAACTTAGGAAGGGGACTTTACAAGATAAAGGTAATGATCAACACATTTGTTGTCACGGCTGTTCTGTGGTAATCTTTGACATAAAGTAATCATTCCCTTGGTCAACATTTTAAGCTGACTCTGGAGGCAGAAAGAAAAGTTGTGCAATCCAGAGAGCTTTTGGACACCATTGTTAAAGAAAACAAAGGTTAGGATACATTTAAGAATAAAATGCTTTCAATGTTAACCAGCTACGGCAAAATTACAGTATTACAAAAATCGGTTATCCTATGTATTCACATCTCCGTATGTCTCCTATCTCCTCCAGTTGTCTATGGAATCACAACAGGTTTCGGCAAATTTGCCCGAACAGTCATTCCTGTCAGCAAACTCAAGTAAAGTTAATATGTTACTATCTGGTTTCATGGTCAGCATTAGATCTTCGTAATGAGCCGTTTCTATGTGCTGATTGATGGTCGTGCACTTCTTGTTCCACAGGGAGCTGCAGGAGAACCTGGTGCGTTCACACTCAGCAGGTAATAAAACTAGACTGACACTCTCAAGATCTTCAGCACGCTGGATGAAGTGTTTTAGGTTGTGCTGTAGTTATCAGCATCATTAATGTTCTACTACGGTGTGTAGGTGTGGGAAATCCATTGAGCCCAGAAAGGACCCGCATGCTGCTCGCTCTGAGGATCAATGTTCTGGCCAAAGGGCACAGTGGAATATCTCTGGAAACCCTTCATGCCATGATCCAAGCCTTCAACGGTAAACCACGAGCCTCACTTTACCTGAGCTGACCTGGGATATAAGCTTCAGTCCACTGCTGATAGCTTCCTTTAGGGATCAGTATTGTACAACCTGACTGTCATATTACCAATCATCTCTAACTTACTTTGTCCCCGCAGCTTCCTGCCTCTCCTTCGTCCCTGAGAAGGGAACAGTCGGTGCTAGTGGAGACCTGGCACCTCTTTCTCACCTGGCCCTGGGGCTGATGGGAGAGGGTAGGATGTGGTCTCCTAAGAGCGGATGGGCAGATGCCAAATATGTAAGATCTTACAGATAGAATTATGGCTTTTCCAGGGTTGTATGACTGTAACTTTATTAAAAGACTAGTGTGTAGAAGTAGTGAAAGGCCTTATCTAGAGGCAGTTTTTGGTTTGTCCTTTCTGAGCTACTGTAGAAACATGGCGTTAATCCATGGCAGACTGCCTCTGTAGATAAAAAAGTGCTCAATTCTAAGGTAACAAAAACACAACGATTCTTATTTTCAGGTTAATTATACGTTAATGAAAAACATAGCTATGAAATATTATATACAATATCCACCTAAATGTTACACACTGGATCTTGCTGCAGGAAATGTGCCATTTGCTTGTAGGAGTGAACGGTTGCAAGGTCCATGTTTGCTTTTTGATGACCCTTTGACCTTTTACATGTTTTTTTTTTTCCCTTTCATCTCTGGCCAGGTCCTGGAGGCGCATGGCCTGAAGCCAATATCACTAAGGCCTAAAGAGGTAAAACCAACCAGGCTCTCTCATATTTGATTTACCTGCAGTAAATGACCCCGGGTTCACTGGGTACACATTGTGGTCTCCCAGGTACAGAATTTATAAGAACCAGTAAGAACCAGAATAGCGTTTACATTTACAGATATACAGCACAATATAGTGCATTCTCCTAGTGGCTGCTTTAAGTGGAAAATATGTTAATCTCGCTCTCTGTCTTTCCCTTGCAGGGTCTCGCTCTGATCAACGGGACCCAGATGATCACCTCTCTGGGGGCGGAGGCTGTGGAGCGAGCCCAGGCGATTGCTCGACAGGCAGACATAATCGCCGCTCTGACCCTGGAGGTGCTAAAAGGAACCACCAAGGCCTTTGACAGTGGTGAGCAGCGGCAGTAGTGAACATAATCACAAACTAGATGGGAATATTTACCTCAAACTTCAAGATTCTGTATCTATTCCGTCCTTCCTCGATTTCTGGCCTCCCTCCTGCAGACATCCACGCGT